CACCCGCACCCTGACCGCGCGCTTGCCCCGTCCTCCTGCCCCCGCGCCGCAGCCGACGCGCTGGCGCTGTTCGAGCGCTGCAAGGCGGGGCTCAAGCCGGACGGGTTCATCATGGTGCGCGCTGCCGAGGCGCGCAACACAGAGAGCGGCGCCGCATACGGCCGCACCGCCGACCTCTGGCCGCTGTGATTGCTCGTCCGGGTCGGGTCGCGCGCGGCGGCTTGCGGGGTGGGCTGGAGTCTGGCTGCCTCATGTGTCGCGCAGTCGGCGCATTGGCGTGCACCCCGTACCCATGCCTATGCACACACACATACACACACACACATACATGTACACACAATCAAAATCACACACACACACCACGCACACGCGCGCACACCATATCCACACACACACACACGTCAACCACCCCCCTCCAGGTCAAGGAGAACATCTGCAAGGACGGCTTTGTGGTGGACAAGGCGGACAACAGCCTCACGCGCTCAGATCCCTACATGCTGGAGCTCTTCGCCCAGGCGGGGCTGGAGGTCGTGGCGGCAGCAAAGCAGAGGAACTTCCCAAAGGAGCTGTTTGATGTGCGGCAATACGCCCTGCGGCCGCGCGGGAGCTGAGGGCCGCTGCGGGGGCGCGCGCAGGGGGGCCTGGGCAGGCCGCCCGCGGCGGCGCGGCCGGGGCGCCGCGAGCGGCGGCGCGCGGGTGCAGCGGGCCCGGAGGAGCCGCAGCGGCCTGCGCTTCGGCGGCTGAGGTGGGGGCCCATTGGCTCGCAAGGCGCGTGCGAAATGGCTTCAATCGGGGGCGGTTTGATTGACTGCAGAGGCGGGCGCCGTGCTGGCGAGGCGCCCCAGCGGCACAACAATTGAATTGCAGCACGAAACGAGCAGGCGGCCGGCGCGCTCCGGCAGTTGCGCGGCTGCAGCCTCCTGAATGCATGCCTGGGCCCGGGTCCAAGGAGAGGGAGGAGCCTAAGCCACTCACTGTTTTGCGTTTCCCCCCTCCAACCCGGGCTCGGCTGTTGCACTGGGTATGTAGACACACAAGATTACTGTTGAACAGAGCCGCAGTGCGGCCGCAAACGCTACTGCTGTGCGTGCGCTTTCTCCCCCACCCTCGTGTGCGTTCCCTCTTGTTAAACCGATTTGCATTTCCGCGTGCAGGCGCGTCTTTGTTTGTGGCCACAATTCATTGCTTTCACATAACAAGTGGGGGTCTTACACGCATCATGTCCCAGCACGGCTGCGCTGCCGCGCGGCTGGGTGCAGCAGTCACGGCGGCGGGGGCGCCGTCGAGCGGCGCCCCTGGCTGACGTGTCCCCTCCCTCTCAACTGCCATTAATTGGCCAGGGAGCGCCTTTCGCGCGTGGGTGCCTTTGTTTCTTCCCGGGGCGAGAGCAGGCGCGTTGCCGATGCGCACCGCCGCAGTGCGCGGTGGGGAGCGTGACGGCCGCGCGAGGGGATGGTCCAGAGCCGATCGCCTGCCCCTTGCACCGGGCAGCCACCGCGTCCGCCCAATTTAGTATGTCGGTCTGATTGCGTGGCGGCCCGCCCCTTGAACGCCCTCGCTCCACGCCCTGCAATCGGGCTTGCCGCAGACCCGTGATCTGCCAGAGCCTTTGCTGCTGTAATCTGGGGGTTAATACACACGTGAAAGCGGACAGTCTCTGTGTGCGTTTTGAGCCACGCGCGTTTTGGGCCACGAGCCGCGCGTGCGTGCACATGACATCATCAGGCGGGCGGGCGTGGGCAGTGCGCGCCGAGCGCCATCAGCTGGGGTGGGGTATTACCACCACCTTGAGGTGGGGGGGCGGGGGGGGGGAGACAAGAGGCACCACCAACAAATAGCATGGATGCATGCGTGCGAATGGATGAGTGTGCTGCAGGCACAACAGCAGGCCTGGAAGGCCACCACAGTTTTTACTGCACAGGTGAAACAGTGCTTAAGCGGAAGCAGGGGAACAGGGGACACGACTCTGCAAGAACAGATGCAGCTGCCCGCCCACAACGTAGGTGGCCCAGAAGCCGGGGAGCACATTCGGCACGGCAAGGACGCCGTCACCAGAGCCACGAGGCGGGGTCAAAGCGCCCCCGCAGCGCGAGCACGCCCCTCTCCGACACCGGCCCCCTCACTGCGGCGCGCCGCCGCCGCCCGCGCCCCGCGGGCTCGAAGAAGCCCCGTCCTGCGCGCCTCGCGGCGCCGGGCTGTCCGCCCCTGGGAGCTGCAGCTGGAGCTGCAGCTGCGAGGCCCTCGGGCTCACGGGCGCCGACCGAGGGCTCATGCGGGGACTCGCCCTCATGCCGCCGCCTCCGCCGCCGCCTCCGACTGACTGCTGCTGCTGCTGCTGCTGCGGCTGCTGCTGCCCTCCGCCGCCGCCGGTGCCGCCGCGAGCCTGCGGCCCCACCGCCGGGCTGCTCGCCCGCTGCAGCTGCCCCCCTGCCGCCGCCGCAGCAGCAGCAGCCTCGCGCCCGGCCTCCGCAGTCAGGTGCTGCAGCAGCGCCGCCGCCGCCGCACCCGCCGGCGCCGCCGCCGCCGCCGCACCCGCGCTCGCGCCCGTTGCAGCGGCCGCTGCGGCGGGGCTGAACGGCCGGAATTGGGTCGCCGGGGTGTGGCCCACTGACGTGAAGGAGGGCGCGCGGTGGCCGACCTGCGAGGTCACGCTCGACGTCCTGAGCTGGTGCGGGGACGGCGGGCCCCAGTAC